CATGAAGGTGTTGAGGTGTCAGAGTCTCAGGATGCAAAGTTTTCAGGACGAGTCCAGAGTGACAAAGACGCCCTCAGAGAAGGACGAATCAGACTTCAACTGTCCAGACTCAGGACTGATGACTCGGGTCTGTACCTGTGTGAGGTGAACACTGATGATGGCTTCAGCGTTGGAAGATGTCAACTCAACGTCACTGGTGAGATATTTTTTTTAACACTTTGCAAACATTATTCAATTCAAGTTAAAACAAAACCTGTTATTTTGGGCTTGGTCTGTTTGTTTTTAGCAGTTTTTCATTCGTCCAACCTTCAGACTGTGAGTCCACAACCAGAGAGCACAGAAAGCCAGCGTGGTGTCGGACTGTCACTGGTATTACCACTACTAGCTCTAGTGGTCATCTGCGCTCTGCTCTGTTTAGTTGGCATAAAAAAAAAGAAACAAACATTGACAAGTGTTTCAGAAATTAAACCAATCACCACTTAGAGGACTTTTTTTGGAGGATCAATTTGAGCCCAAATTATTTGAGCTTTAAATAAAGACCCGAGTCACAAATTTAACCAACAAACTCTTCAACATGTGTTTAAGTTCCAGAAAGCAAATTATGAAAAAAATATAATCTGTATTAATTAAGTTCCTATTTATTGAAGCTTTTACAGGAGTGATAAATAACATTAGTGTAAACAATGATTCTTGTTTTACTAAAAAATGAGAAATCTTTGAACAGACTTTGTCTTCTGTGTCCCATCCTGTTGCTGCATTACAAGTTTCAGCTTCATCTCTCACCTCCATGAATACTAAAGACTGTAACAGCTGATTGAGAGGGTTGCCGTTTAACGTTTTATCATTAAAATAAGTAAGATATGTGATGAGTACAAGGCAAATGTTTATGCAGACATATCACTGCTGTAATAATGTTTACATGTTTACGAATAAAATCATTTGTATTAGAGAAGTTCTTCTTTTTGTGTTTTCATTTATTTATTTTTAAACAAGTGGAAAAACAAAAAAGAGTTTATAATCAACACACAAAACAACTTTATTAACACCAGGGCTCAGTCCTGTCTGGGTTTATTCCACCTTTATTAAAAAGACAAACATGTTTTTACTTTCTGTAGTCAGACTTTATTTTCAGCATCAGTTCCTGAGTGTGTGGTTTCAGCCCCTCATTGCTTCATCAACATAGTTACTGTTTATTTTTCCTGCCATCTTGTAGAAGCTCAGAGAGCTTTGAAGAACGATGAGCAACTCAGGTTAAACAGTCCTGTTACATCATGGAGATCTAGACTGTAAACTTTCCTTCAGAGTTTCAGAGCAGCATGAAAATAAAGCTGCAGACACTGAATCTGGTGTTGACATTTATTAAACACGGTAAACAACAAGTCCTCTTTACTGTGGTTGGACTATTTCTGTGAGCTGATGGAGCTGAAGTTGGGATTATGCTGAGCAGTGACTACTCTGAGGACACACAGTAGTCGATCAGATGAGTCCAATCATTGCTTTACATACTGCAGGTATTCACACAGCACAGGAATGAACTGTAGCCTCAGGTTTTACACACTTTGTATGCTGTGTGTGAAAAAATAAACAACAATAAACAACTTTTACATTAATGTTAAAGATTATGTGGGTTTATAAAACAATCTGTTGAAACTATTTAACTCATTTCTGTGTTAAACCAACTCCTAACTCCACAGCTGTTACATCACCACATGGATGAATGTAATCCAACACTGTCATCTGGTGATAATGAGTTTACAGCAGAGTAACTTTGCGGCTTTAGCTTTATGTTTCGTGATGAGTCTTTCTGAAGCTCATCATATTTCTGCTACAGGGTTTTGTCTCCTGGCTTTATTTCTGAAAACAACTAAAAATATTACAAGCAGTCCCAGCAGAGCTGCCAGCACTCCCATTAAACTATAGAGACTGGTCATGCCTCCACTTTCTGCTGTTGTCGGTCTCTGAGGGTGGAGCTGATCAGCTGCTGTAAATGATATGAAAATATGTATCATTGATTGATTGATTGAAGTAAAATGTTGGTTACACAGAGTTACTCAGGTCATAATTTTACGTATAGATCAACATGACTCTTAGCAGGTAAACTACATCAGGGCTACTTCATAGACTGTATATAAAAGATGGAGTCAGTCACCATAACGTCCTACATTGTTTAATGAAGCCATGATTAGTATTGTTTTGTTATGGTCATCTTGATGTTTGCACGTGATGAGCAGGAGGTGAATCTGAGTGAGAAACTGAGGAAACCTGAACATGAATGAAATGAACCTCTTGTTTTATTCAGTTTGAGTTCAGCAGCAGATCTACTCTGCTGTGTTTAGACTAACAGATAAAAAATTGTGTTTAACTGGTGAGAAGTCTGAGGTTAGAGCAGCCGACTGATAGTCTGCAGGTTTCTGGTTTGAGTCCCTGATCAGATGTTGACATCTTTGAGACGACTGTTCTCATTATCCCAGATATAAATAAACATAAACAACTCAACTATGGATCAAATATTTAACAAAAGGTTTCGGGGCTTTTAGGTGTCTTGAAGATATTTGAACTCTGAGAGAAACAGCTGTCTGTTTCTTCCTTTTAGTGATTGCACCTCTGATCACATGAAGACTGTGGGCAGTGGGACACTGTGGAGGTGGGCTGTAGCCTCTCCACTCAATCACACTTTAGTCATTGGAATTGTGTTTTCTGTGCTGCCTTTTATACTAATGTTCTTCTTTGCTTTTAGTTTGTGTAAGCTGAGCCTCACATCAATAAATATAACTAAATGGTTGACAAATAGGACACTGAGGAGTAACTGGTGAGCAGATATCAGAGAGCTTGAAGGAACATGTGATGTTAGGAGATTAACGGATTTTTAAAAAGAGAAAACATTTTAAAATCAGTCCTAAAAGTCACAGGAAGCCAGTGAATGGAGGCCAGGAAACAGGAGACAGGAGGCTCCAGTTTCAAGGCCAGCTTTCAAATTTTGGACCAACTGATGGCATGAAAGGGAAAGATGATTCACACCAAAATATACAGCAGTATAACAGTCAAGTCATAACGTAATAAAAACATGTAGAACTCTATATATAATGAGTAAAACATAAGAAGGAATTGACCTTACTAAGAAGTATTGGTTAGTAAAAACCCAATTTTATAACAAAATTAATCTTTTTATCCAATTTTAAGTTAAAGTCCATCGTATCATGTTGAGGTTTTTGACACAAGGAACCAGTGGACACAGGTCCCATTTTGGAAAACCATTAGAACTACTGGGTTTAAGTATCATGGCCTCAGTTTTGGTCTCATTTCAGTTAAAAAGGGAAAAAAAAGAAAAATGAAAGGGGAGAGTGGTTACTGAGATCACAGATTAATGGTGGTGCTTTTGCAACCACACCCTGCTATTCACTAAAAAAAGAATTGAAGTCTTTTGACGTTGACTTCATTGTTCAGACCCAGAAGGTATGGACATCTTTCATACACAGTCTATGGTCTGTTTTAACAGCTCAGTGGATCGAACAGTGAACACCATCGTAATAAAAGAAACTAGATTAACTTCAGCTAAATCAACATACCAGTGACGTTGAGTCGACAGCTGGCAGAGCCGAAGCCATAATCAGTGTTCACCTCACACTGGTACAGACCCGAGTCATCAGTCCTGAGTCTTGACAGTTGAAGTCTGATTCGTCCTTCTTTGAGGGCGTCTTTGTCACTCTGGACTCGTCCTGAAAACTTTTCATCTTGAGACTCTGACACCTCAACACCTTCATGAACCTGATACAGGACTGAGGATATACGACTGATAAAAAGTTCACAGAGGATGTTGAGAGTTTTGTTGGATCTGTCATGTTTGGTGGTGAACGTCCACTCCAGTGTGATGTTGTGGTTCTCCTCTGCCTGATAGGAGGTCTGTGTCACATTGACTACAAATGATCCTGTTGAGGAGACAGAGAGGGAAAGAGAGGAGCAGAAACACTGAGAACTGGAACAAATCTGTTGTTGAGCTTTATTTGGAGTTCATAAAGTGAAGCTGTAAACTAACCAGAGACACATGAGGTGAGGATGATGAGCAGCAGGATCCTGCAGATCATCTTCTCCATGAGAGAGGAGACAGAGGTGAAGAGTCCTCAACACATGAGGTCATAGGTCAGTCAGCACAGCTAGAAGAAGGAAAATCTACAGTGTTCAATATATCCTCTACTGTAGAGCAGCATTTTCTATTGTGGATGAAGTGTGCAGAGGTTTATCCAAGCTGACAGCAAAATATAGAGAGTAGGTCATAAAATGTGGCTCTGGGAGTTTTCACATTACAGTGAAATCAGAAATGATGAGAGCCAAAGGAGGAGCACTGGAGAGGCAGCCTCACCACCCTCCTAGAAAAGAGCTGAGGAGAGCCCCTGACAGCGTGGGGAGTGGTGGGGGCACCCAGCCATGGTGCAGAATCCACAGGGGGCTGGGGAGACATGCCCACAGGCTCCACCAGCAGCCGGCCAGAACAGACTGACTCCCCGGATTCAGAGACCTGAGAGCC